TTAACCATATTTTTGTACCCATTAACCAGCTTCACTTTCCCCCCACCTTCCCCACTAACCATCCCTCCTAGCCTCTGGTAACCATCACTATACTCTCTGACAACTTTTCTGTAAATCTAAATTTATTCCAAAATAAAAAGTTTATTTAAAAAAGAGGGAGAAAACAAAGAGGGTGGAGACATCCAGATAACACAATATGGTGAATTCGAGACTACATGCTCTTCCCACTCTCACCATGCAGAAAGGCCACAGGGACATCGATAAACACCCTGCTAAAGTCAGACTGGACTTCCCAGGAACTGAGGTGGCTGCCCAGGGGACAGAAACCAAGATAGAGATAGAAAGCAAAGCAAGCCTATTGCTCTAGAGCCCTGGATAGGGTGTCAGCCTCCATTATGCATGGACTGGGGTTTTAACACCCACAGAGGGTAGGAGGTGAAGTCAGAGCTATCTGAAGCAGGGAATTGAAACTGGAACCCTTTCTTAGAGCAGAAACTCATGAAGAGTTTCATCTTCAGCTGAAGGGAAACGAGGGTGGGGGAGGGAAATATCCTCCTACAGTCACAGAGAGATGACAAAGAAGTTGACTTCGTTCTAAACTCAGGGAAGAAAGCGCTAGACGTCCCTTCTGTAGCCTTCTTTAGTGAGGTCCATGTTGTTAAATATAAACAGAACGTTAAAGCAATGCCTTCAGTGCTTTGATTAGTAATCATTTTAACTCTAAAATTAGAGAAATAGCCCACTCTATACTTCTCATTAGTTGCGGGGGCTGTGTCTTAATTTCTGTTGAAGAAAATACGAACAGGCCAAGAAACGTGAATGCTTCCTGTGATGTTTTGTGTTGCTGCACTGTGCGGTTACTTTACATTGTTGGAGTCCTGCCTCCATCTAGGGCAGGATTTCTCAGTCCTGGCAGTACTGACATTTTGGGTCAAATCATTCTTTGTTGTGGGGACTTGTTCATTACAGAAGGTTTAGCAGCACTCCTGGCCTCTACCCGTTCGATGCCAGTAACCCCACCAGTGGAAGTGGTGATCACCAAAAATATCTCCAGGTGTCATCCAATGTCTCCTGGCAAGGGGAGGGAGCAAAATCACCCCTCACTGTTTGAGAGTGACCAACCAATTTCAGTTTGCTGGGAACTGTAGGGGTGCCCAGGACCTGGGACCCTCAGGGTTTTGTTGTTGTTGTTGTTGTTGTTGTTTTGAGTCAGGATCTTGCTCTACAGTCCAGGCTGGATGGAGTGCAGTGGTGTGATCGTGGCTCACTGCAGTTTTGACCTTCTGTGCTCAATCAATCCTCCCACCTTATGGTAGTGAGGACTACAGGCACACTCTACCACTCCCAGCTAATTTTTGTATTTGTATTTGTATTTTTTTATTTTTTGAGACAGAGCCTCATTCTGTCACCCAGGTTGGAGTGCAGTGGCACAATCTTGGCTCACTGCAACCTCCGCCTCCCCGGTTCAAGCAATTCTCCTGCCTTAGCCTCCCAAGTAGCTGGGACTACAAGCACCTGCCACCACGCCAGCCTAATTTTTTTTTTTTTTTTTTTTTTTTTTTTTTGTATTTTTAGTAGAGACAGGGTTTCACTGTGTTAGCCAGAATGGTCTCCGCCTCCTGACCTCGTGATCCACCCGCCTCAGCCTTCCAAAGTGCTGGGATTACAGGCGTGAGCCACAGCACCCGGCAATTTTTGTATTTTTTGTAGAGATGGGGTTTCACCATGTTGCTCAGTCTAGCCTCGAACTCCTGGATTCAAGAAATCCACCCACCTTGGCCTCCCAAAGTGCTGGGATTAGAGGCGTGAGCCACCACTCCCAGCCAGGACTCTTGATTTTAAAACTGGGATGGTCCTGGGCATATTGGGATGGCTTGGTCACCCTACTTTCATCTCTAATATGAGTATTTAGGATGCCAAGTAATTTTAGGATGGGTGGGAGTGAGAAAAGTGGTTTATCACCAGCAAATACTGAGTTATTCCCGTCACTCCTGGACAAACTTAGCCAAGTTCTTACCGGTGAGTGACCTTGGTTACTGAGTGGAAAGAAGGTGGAAAGGATTTGCTGCTTCTCGTCCATGCTAAGGGAGAAACTGATGAAAGAGTGGCCCCAGGCAGTGATTCAGTGGAGCCTTATTGTGTTGTAGGCAGTGCCCGAAAGTCCCCATAAAGAGCTCAGCAACACCCAGCATTACAAAGGGCCCATCAACCCTCTTGGCCATTGGCACTCTAACGTATCAAGGTGATATTCTCCTAGACCAATGGTCTCCATTAAGAAAGAAGGGACCTGAGTCCTAGAGGGGGGTGGGGACAGGCCAAGGGGCTGTGCCCATTTACCTCCCCAAACAGAGGTCTTTCCTTTTGCCATGCAGAAGAGATTAAGAAAGCAAATTCTGAACCAACAGGCTCCAGTTTGAAGAGTGGCATGTCTTGAAAGAGAGTTGGCCAGGATTGACCAGGATGAGTGGGGAGGTATCCCTGATCAGCGCAGCTGCTGGTGTCGGGAGAGGCTGTTCTGGTCAAAGGGAAAAGCCCAGTGGCACTGACCAGCCCTGAGAAGTATGGCCTGGAACCTGCCTGCCTAGCACAGCTATCTTGATGAACTGTCCCTTTCTTTCCCCAGAGAAATGCACAGAGGTGCACACACACTTTTGATTTTGCATTTGATTCTGGGGAATTCACTGGATCCCTGCAGCCCATCAATCTGGGTTATAAAGCCCCGAGCTAATCATTAATAACCATACATTACACAATCCATATATCGAAAGTACTTGGTGAATTTATTTGGCCCAGTCAATTGACCCAGTAACCCCATGAAGTAGGTGCTATAAAGGTCACGAACTATTCTTAGACCTGCTCATTTCCCATCATGAAGCATCATGCCAACGTTATGAGCAAAAACTTTGGAGTTGGGAAGCCTGGGTTCAAATCCTTACTATGCCACTTACCTGCAGGATGATCTTGGGCAAGTCACTCAACCTTGGCCTCAGTTTCCCTATATGTGCTTGGCATATAGGGAAACTATAATTAATGCTCAATGAATGTTGTTCATTACTTTATTACTTCATGAGCTCACTCACTTCAAGCTATAGTGGCTTGAAGGCAACAATTCCACTAAAGAGTGACCTTCAGGGCCGGGCGCGGTGGCTCAAGCCTGTAATCCCAGCACTTTGGGAGGCCGAGGCGGGTGGATCACGAGGTCAACAGATCGAGACCATCCTGGTCAACATGGTGAAACCCCGTCTCTACTAAAAATTACAAAAAATTAGCTGGGCATGGTGGTGCGTGCCTGTAATCCCAGCTACTCAGGAGGCTGAGGCAGGAGAATTGCCTGAACCCAGGGGGCGGAGGTTGCGGTGAGCCGAGATTGCGCCATTGCACTCCAGCCTGGGTAACAAGAGCGAAACTCCGTCTCAAAAAAAAAAAAAAAAAAAAAAAAAAGAGTGACCTTCACCCACCCTTGAGTGGGTGGCTGCAAAAGGCACCCCAGAGATCATCTAGTTTGAAGGTCAAGATGGGAAGGAATGAACCAGCGTCTCACAGCGGGTCAGATACAGAGCTGGGGGTAGGACCCAGGCTTCCCAACCCCCATCTAACAGATTTCACCCCCGCCCACTGCCTGTCTTCATGGACAAGCCATCCAACCTAGTATGAGAAAGGTTCTCAGCCTGCCTGTCTCTTCCCGCCAGTCATCCTGAGTCGTGGTTTCCAAAAAAAGTATCTCCTAAGAAGCTTTCAGAGGGGCTGAGACTTGAGAGAACTTTGCTGTCTAAACATGTTTTTTTTTTTTTTTTTTTTAAATTGTTTCTTTTCAGAATTAAGAACAAATCCTGAACTCCAGGGGTTCAATGGGCAAAAGATATAAATAGTCTTGGCTATAGCTTGGCAATAAACATGTGGGAAGCTGTGTACTCCTGCCAGATATCCCAGCATTGCAATTGAAACAAGATATCCTTTTTTTTGGCTTATAAAATTTGCCAAGATTGTCATGAAAGTGATAACACTCAGCTCTGGCAAGGGCAGAGTGAAATGGGCACTCTCAGACATTACTGTGGAGGATAAATTGCTTTCAGGAGGCAATTTAGTAAATTGTATTAAAGCCTTAAAACTCTCTCCTCAGAAAATCATCAGAAATGCCAAAAAAAAGCTTTATGCACAAAGCTGCTCATCTCAGAATTATTTGTAATGGTTTAAAAAATAGAGAAGCTATCTAATTATCCAAAAATAAGAGAATGATTAAATAAACTTTAGGAGAGCCACTCAGTAGAGAACTCAAGAGCTATTTAAAACAATGTTTACAAAAATGTATAATGACATGGGAGAAACGCTTATACTCTTGAATTTTTAGGAATCAGAATACCGACTGGTATATAGAGTACCATATAATCACATTCCATTAAAAAGTCACTGCATACAAATGTGACATGAGGAAACAACGTATCAAAGCATTAACACTTTCCAGGTGTTCTATGATGTGCAAGTATTATTTCTATAATTTAGTAAAATGTACATATGTATGTACTTTTTGGATCTCAAGCATAGAACTGATCATAATGGAACATGTTTTACTTTCATTCTTGAAAGTATGTACAAGGAGGCACAGTGGCTCACACCTGCAATCCCAGCACTTTGGGAGGCTGAAGTGGGAGGATCACTTGAGCCCTGAAGTTCAAGACCAGCCTGGTCAACATAGTAAGACCTCCTCTCTACAAAAAAAAAAAAAAAAAAAAAAAAAAATTAGGCAGGCATAGTGGCACACACCTGTGGTCCCAGCTACTCAGGAGGCTCAGGTGGAAAGATCACTTGGGCTGGGAGTTGGAGTTGCAATGAGCTATGATTGAACCACTTCACTTCAGCCTGGGCAACAGAATGATACCCTATTTCTTAAAAAAAAAAAAAAAGATTAAAAGATTGTAAAGAAAAGAAAATAGGTACTAAGCTGTGGAAACAATGTCTGCACTTCCAACCTTCCTTTCTGTCTGTTTCCTCTCTGCCCCCAGCCCTGCCAGAGCTGCCCCAGCCTTCCCTGTGCCCCCTGTTCTGGATGGAGTTCAAAGGCCACTGCTATCGATTCTTCCCTCTCAATAAGACCTGGGCTGAGGCTGACCTCTACTGTTCTGAGTTCTCTGTGGGCAGGAAATCCGCCAAGCTGGCCTCCATCCACAGGTAAGTGGGATCCAAGTCACCTATAGTTCAACTAAGCACCCCTTTGGGAAACGGGGCGGAGAATGGTATTTCCAACTGGCATTTCTCTTTGGTAACTGAAACTTTGAAAAAAAAAAAAATAGAGATGGAGTCTTGCTATGTTGCCCAGGCCAGTCTCGAACTCCTGAGCTCAAGTGACTCCTCATTCAGCCTCCCAAAGTACTGAGATTATAGGCATCAGCCACAGTGCCTGGCCAACTGAAACTACTTTTTATCCAACTCAATTGCTCATTGAAACCATCCTTGGCTATAGAAGGCAAAGCATTCAGCAGGGGTAGCAAATAGTATGCTGGATCCACCTTTATAAGTGCCAGTCTTGTGCTGCCTTCTGCTCTGTATCCTGTGATACAACTGATACACTACACATGTAAAGAATATAATGTAAAGAATATGAGAAATCATAACACATTTACTTGCTACATGTTTAATGTACATTATCACATTAAAGTTCTGTTAAACCCTATCACATGGGAATCTTCATTTTCCAGATTAGGAACATGAGGCTCTGAAAAGGTAAGTAACTTGCTCAACGTTACACAGCTCTGAAGTGGGAGAACCTAGTTTTGAACCTGTGGAGTCAGATTCATAGCCCACCCTCCAAGGCCTCCTTCCACATTCCTCTCTGTCTGAATCCCCAGGCACGCTGACCATCTCAGAGTTCTCCAGTTCGGTCCAGCTCTTTCACTTCTCCATACTCTTAGACACTCTATGTCCCCTCCTGGGAATTTCTTCCCTATCCTTCCCTTCAGGTAAATACCTCCTCAACCTTCAAGACAGCTCTGACAACACCTCTTCACTGAAGTAACTTCTAACACCCTAATTACACTCATTACCCAGCTCTCCTGCCTTTATCATAGCAGAGTGACTTCTGCATCTGACTTCTTTGGTGATTTGTGAATTTTCTCAGGCCAGGTGTGATGTGTTCCATTGGCAGCCAAGCTGTAAATCACAATCTTACCTCTGTTCTTCAAGGATCTCAGAAACTACTTTAGAAAGAGTTGGTTTTTTAAAAACAACAACAACTTTTATTGGTGACATTGAAGAAAAGGTAGCTGGGGTGTGGGTGGGGCTACATGGGCGGCCCCTCCTGGTCTTCCCGCCCCATCTGTGCGATCAGCTGTTGCCGCTCGGCCGCGTGGCGCATGCGCGTCATGACGAGGCTCTCGCGGTTCCTCTCCGACAGCACTGAACCCTTTGACAGTCCCGGGTGGCTGCGGCCCATGGTGTCCTGGGGCTATCCCTCCAACCAGGAAATCTTCAGAGGGTTATCCACCAGGCCAACTTCATTCTGGACAGCCAGCTCCGCAGTCCTGACAGTCGCGAACTCCACCACAGCAGTGCCTGCCTTCTTACTGGAAAGTACCAGGTTGAGAACCTCATGTTACTTTTGCAAAAGCCGTAGAAGGACCTCTTTGGAGTAGCCACCTTTTGACTCATCCTCCTTCTTGCACTTCCACTTTAGCTTTAGTCCGGGGGTTCCTTGGCCTTCAGTGTTTCCTATCTTTCCTCTCAACCTCTGGTCATGCTCCTGGCGTTTCTGATGAGCCTCTGCTGTTCCTCCAGCTGCCGGGAACCCTCTTCTCTCAGGTGTTCCATCTCTTGCTCTAGTGTCCTGGTGCTCCAGCTCTCCTCCTCCTCCTCACTCTCCTGGGCCTGGGCCTGCCGTTCCCGGGCCTCCAGATCAAGCTTCACTTTCTTCCTTTTCTCATCGTTTCTGGGTCCTCTCTGCTGCCTGCTTCTTGGCTTTCCTGACCTTGCCATAGGCAGCCCTGGCTGCAGCATGGGTCAGCACCTCCAAGGCCTGAGAAAGCTGGTGGAAAAGTTCAGCCGCTCTGGGATTATCTGGATTTTTGTCTGGGTGGCAGGAGAGGGGCCTGAGAAAGCTGGTGGAGGAGTTCAGCTGCTCTGGGATTATCTGGATTTTTGTCTGGGGGGCAGCAGACGGCCTTCTGCCTATATGCCTTCTTCACCTCTTTGTCCACCACCTTCTCCTCAATGTCTAGTACAGGTCCATTTGTAAGAGCTCCTTGGTCACTGCTGTGGTTCCTGCCTGACGCAATCGTACTATTGAGAGTTGGTTTTTTATGTGTACAGCCACTGACTTTTGTTAAGAATAGGGAAAGGGGACCAGGTGTGGTGGCTCACGCCTGTAATCCCAGCACTTTGGGAGGCTGAGGCAGGTGGATCACTTGAGATCAGGAGTTGAGACCAGCCTGGCCAATGTGGTGAAACCCTGTCTCTTCTAAAAATACAAAAATTAACTGAGTGTGGTGGTGCACACCTGTAACCCCATCTACTTGGGAGGCTGAGGCAGGAGAATTGCTTGAACCAGGAGGTGGAGGTTGCAGTGAACCAAGATCACGCCACTGCACTCCAGTCTGGGTGACAGAGTGAGACTCTGTCTCAAAAATAAATAAGTAAATAAATAAATAAGGGGCTGGGTGCAGTGTCTCATGCCTGTAATCCCAACACTTTGGGAGGCTAAGATGGGAGGATTTCTTGAGTCCAGGAGTTCAAGACCTGCCCAGGCAACACAGCACGACCACGTTGCTACAAAAAACACAAAATTAGCCTGATGAAGTGATGCACAACTGTAGTCTCAGCTACTCGGTAGGCTACGGTGGGAGGATCATCTGAGCATGGAAGGTTGAGGCTACAGTGAGCCATGTTTTAGGCAATTGCGCTCCAGTCTGGGTGACAGAGCAAGATCCTATCTCAAGAAAAAAAATAGTAGAGAAGGGGTTCTTTATCTTAGTTTCCAAATACCTCTTGAATTCACTCATCTCTTCCTCCAACAGATGTATTGAACAACCAGTCTATTTTCCGTGGGGCTGAGAAATATACTGAGACAATCAGGTTCCAACCAGGAAAACCAGAACCACTACAGGTATCTAAAACAGATAATTTAATATAGGCAAGCAATGGAAGCTCAGAACTGAAAAAGGAGTAGTGAGACAAACTAGAGATACATAAGAGCAGAAAACCAATTCCATGCCTGAGTTGGAGTGCAGGCCAGTCCTATGGGATTTGGAGCCATGGAGGAGAGGCAGCCCCTGCCAGAGACTCCCAAGCAGAGGGGGAAACAAATACTCTGGTTTTTCCCTCCTACCCATCCGCCAATGACTTGTAAGTGGCCTCCATTAACTGAAAGCCAGCTAACATGGAGCCGTAGGAAAGACATTCTTTAGGGATCAACTCTGCTATGAGAGCACAGCACAGTACAAGGTTGGCACTTGTAAAGGCAGAGGACATTCTCAAAGAATTCGCAGCTAGAGAGGAAAATGAGATGTATGTAATAAAAAGCGAATGCAAAAGTGATTCCAAATCAAGGCTTTTCTCTAGACAGCCCTCATTGTACTTGCAACCCCAACTGCATCAGAAGGACCTTGAAAGTGGAGAAGCAAACTAACCAGCCAGTCCCTGGGGGAGCAGGATCATTGGGCTGCAAGTGGCCAAGGATTGGATGGAAGATATTCGTGGAAGGTTTCCTGGAAGTACTGGTCCTGGATCAGCATCTTGAAAGATAGGGAAGCTTAGGGGATGAGGGCAGCAGGTGTTCCAAATGAAGAAAGCTGTGGGGGACAGTGTGAGCATTGATTAAGGGCATTAGAATCAGGCAGTTCTAGACTCTTGCCCCAGCTCCATCACTTCCTACCTGCATTATCTTAACCAAACCACATAAACTCTAAGCCAAAGAGTTCTCAACTTGGAAAGAGCAGTCATCACATTGATCTTTTAAAGCTGTGAGGGATTAAAGGTGATCGTGCATCTAATGTTCTTTTTTTGTTTGTTTTTTGTTTTTTGGTTTTTTTTTTTTTTTTTTGGAGACCGAGTTTTGCTCTTGTTACCCAGGCTGGAGAGCAATGGCGTGATCTCGGCTCACTGCAACCTCTGTCTCCTGGGTTCAGGCAATTCTCCTGCCTCAGCCTCCCGAGTAGCTGGGATTACAGGCATGCGCCACCATGCCCAGCTAATTTTTTGTATTTTTAGTAGAGACGGGGTTTCACCATGTTGACCAGGATGGTCTCGATCTCTTGACCTCGTGATCCACCCGCCTCGGCCTCCCAAAGTGCTGGGATTACAGTTGTGAGCCACCATGCCCGGCCGCATCTAATGTTCTTATACAGCACTTGGATAACTCCATGCCCAACATTAGGAGTTATTATTATCTTTATTAATTACAATAAATTATAATTCTGCCTTAAGGAGGCCAGTTCTTTTTTTAACATTCCATATCAATTCATCTTTCTGAGAGTGAGCAAGCCTTGTCTCACTCTTCCTCTTTCCTTTCCTCCAAGAGTATTTGTTAAGTAACTAGCTGCATGTGACTGGCTGGAGCACTGTGTTAAGACAAATTCTGAGTGCCAGAACTTTTAAGTGCTTCTAATCTGGAATTGATTGCCAATCAGTTCCACTTCACTAACACAAAACTAAGGAGAGTAAATATGGGTGCTTTGATTTACTACCAATGCCTCCAGGAAAAAGAAAGCTTCCAGTGGTGGGTATTTTAGATAAGGTGGCAGCCTTCAGAGAGCAGTCATTTGGAAGAAGCTGACAGGAACAGATACACCTTACTGCGACATAAAGGGTACCCCAACATGGCCCTGTTTTGAAGTGAAGTATTAGGCCTATGGCTGATTATCATTCTGCATTGACTTTGTTGACATAAAAAGTTGACCTTTTAGTGGCATGTGAAAGCCAATAGTGGGAATCATTTGTTCGTGGGATCTGTCATCTGGGTCTGTGAATGATTTCAGTGAAGTGTGCCCACCGGTTGTTCATTTGCTGTCACAACCCTTGCCCATTCTTCTAACCTTTACAAACTACCTTTGTCGGGCTTGTTGATATGGGCCCTGGATGAGCAGTTGTCTCAGCTTGTCTTCAGCATCTTCAGTTGCAGCAGCTCCAGATTTTGGGTCCAGACATGGCTACAACCTAAGGAGAAAGGGCAGTACTAGAAACTTGGACCTTCTCCACATACCTCTCTCCTTTCATCATGGAGGAAAATGTTCCCAAGATGTCCCCATAAACGTTGCCTTAAATCTAACTGGCTACGCTTGGTCATATGGCCAATGTCAGCTGCAAAGGGAGCTGGGAAATGAAATTTGGCTTTTCTGGGTCATAATGAAGGCAATGGGGTTAGAGATTAGGAATGGCCCAATGAGGAAAACCAGAACCACTACAGGTATCTAAAACAGATAATTTAATATAGGCAAGCGATGGAAGCTCAGAACTGAAAAAGGAGTAGTGAGAAAAACTAGAGATACGTAAGAGCAGAAAGCCAATTCCATGCCTGAGTTTTCCATGCCTGGCAGACAACCAGTAATGTCTGCTCCAGTGCCTGTTTGTTGTGAGAATAAAATGAGTTTCTGCACATGTAACACTTAGCGTAGTACCTGGTGTGAAGTCAATGCTCAAGAGACATTTTGATTATAGGATGAAAATGTGTTGATTTCTCTACCTATCTATCTGCTTATCAGCCTATCTGTTCATCTATCCATCCATGTATTCATTCATCCACCCATCCATCCACCTGTCTACCAACCCATTAATTCATTTGTCTATCTATCCACTCATCCATCCATTCATTCATCAATCCATCCATCTCTACTTCTTTGTTGGTGTTGGCAGTGGATTGTCAGCAGGGTCCTCCACCGATTCCTTTTGTTGGGTGAATTATTTGATAAGCTCTTTGAAATAGAGGATAAGAATCCCCCCACAAGACACCTATGACATCTAAGGATGGTGGGCTGTTAACTGAGGGGCTCCGTTTTGCTAAGTGGGCAATGCAAGTTCAAGCCTAGAGCTGAGTTTCCCAGGAAAACAGACATTTTGGAGATGGTGTGTGAAAAAAGACTAGGAGAGAGGGGGATAGATTATAAACTGACAGTGTAAGGGGGGGCCTTTGATGGAGAAATTACTGGTGGAAATGTTCATTGACTTATGTGATGTGTGCAACGCAATGTAAACTCCTCTTGTTGTCTTTTCATTATATCTTCAATATAATCCACCTCATTTGCCAGTGTTTTTGAGATGGATTTAAGTTTTTAGGGATGAGTAGCAGTGCTGAGTCTTTCTTTGAACTGGCATAGGTCAAATCCAGAGATGCCCATGTGGGACCAGCCACATATGGGTGACCTAATGAAAAACGAAGGCCAAATAGGATCATGTCCTCTATTTACTTTGGTCCAGGAAGGTAAATAAGAATTGCTTTCAATTTTTGACTCCATCCTATGAAAAGAGGCAGTGAGGAATCAGCTACTATGTTTCTTACATTCGCAGCTGGGAGGAGAATGTCTTTGTGTATGACCTCGTGAACAGCTGTGTTCCTGGCATCCCAGCTGACGTCTGGACAGGCCTTCATGATCACAGACAGGTGAGAAAGCAGTGGCCATTGGACCCCTTGGAAGCTCCAACCAGGATTCTTTTTGATTTAATAAACCTTTCACATCTGTGCCAGGTCACGGCTATGCACACAGCAAACAGAGAAATCAGACACCAAATGCCACAGTTACAGCATGACCAATTTTTGAAAGACATTTAATGATGTCCTACCAGATGATGCAAACAGATAGCATGGTCAGAGAAAACCTGTTTGGCTTGGGTTCTCTTAAAAAAAAAAAAAAGTCACTAGGCTGGGTGTAGTGGCTCACACCTAAAATCTCAGCACTTTGGGAGGCTGAGGCGGGCGGATCACGAGCTCAGGAGTTTGAGACCAGCCTGGCCAACATGGTGAAACTCCATCTCTACTAAAAATACAAAAATTAGCCAGGCATGGTGGCAGGTGCCTGTAATCCCAGCTACTCAGGAAACTGAGCCAGGAGAATTGCTTAAACCTGGGAGGCGAAGAGGTTGCAGTGAACCGACATCGTGCACTCCAGCCTGAGTGACAGAGCAAGACTTTGTCTCAAAAAAAAAAAAAGAAAAAAAAAAACCACTAAAACATGATTAGATGTGCAAGAGATGTTGGAAGGGAAATATTTGTATATGAAAAAGAGGAAGGAGGCATAAGTAGGCAGGGAAGGACTTCAAACAACACCTTGGGTCTAAGATATGTGAAAGGAGACTGGAGAGGAAGGACTGGGTAGGGAGAGCCTCATCATAGCATAGTGCTGAGAAAGTCTTAGCTAGACCAATGGGGAGTCCCCAAGCAAAAATGCCCAAGACTGGAATCCTGCCCTGGACAGGAATGCACCAGCACCATTACCTCTGACATGCTGAATCACTGGCTGGGAAGAGCCTGGAGGAAGCATGGTCTCATTGTGAATGCAATGGTAGCCAAAGAGGCAGAGGCATGTCCTTAGCACAAACAAGGCAGTGAATCCAAGGTGGCAGAAGAGCTGGAGCTGTCCATCAACTCTGCTTTCTGCTGGTCCTCCTGAAGGCGATCTGTGCAATGTACTTCTGTGACTGCCACAGCCTTCCTGGGTAAGAGATACCTAAGTCAGTGTCTAATGGAGAAATAGACATTAGCCAGAGACAGTCTATTTCAGTTAGAGGAAACAGCATGGGTCAACGTCCTGAGGAAGGGGAGGTCGTGGTACATTCAAGGAAGTTAATTAAGGAAGACCACTGTGGCTAGGGCACAGAGTGAGGTCGGAGTGAGTGTATAACAAAGCTGAAGATAGTAGCTTGGACCAGATCTCTGCAATGTCACAGCAAACTCCACCTGTCCTCAAACTTTGCCTTGGCAAGCTGCATGCTGAGTCTCTATTTTGCATGTATGCTTCTTGCCCTGTTCAGAGTACTATAGGGAATAAGGTTCCAGTGCCAGCTCCTGTTCTGCCACTTACTGGCTGGTAGGTGATTTTATGCAAATGTTAAAAACCTCTCTGAGCCTCAGTTTTTGTGTCTGTACAATGGGGATGAAAATAACAGTGCCTTGTGAAAAGAAAAGTAAGTGAGCTAATATATGTAAAGAGCCTAGCATGCTGCTTAGCATACTACAAGAACTCTTTAAGGATGATAAGAATTGCTGTTGAAGTAGCAGAAGTAATAGTGTGTCACACCTCACATTTATTTATTTCTTTCTATTGAGACAGGAAGTTGCTCTGTTGCTCAGGCTGGAGTACAGTGGTCAATCACAGCTCACCACAACCTTGAACTCCTGGGCTCAAGCAATACTCCCAACCTAGGTTCCAGAGTAGCTAGCACTACAGGCTGGGACCTCCACACCTGGATCGTTTTTTTAAAAATTATTGGTAGAGACAAGGTCCCACTATATTACTCAGGCTTTTCTCCAACTCCTGGCTCCAAGTGATCCTCCAACCTCAGCCTTACAAAGCGCTGGGATTATACGCATGAGCCACCACGCCTGGTGATCTTTTAAATCAATAGACTTCCTCTGGCAAGAACACATGTAGAAGTTGCAATTTTAAAAACACTAAAATGTCCATTTATAATAGCAACTCTAAAATTGGATTATAACTACATTAAATCAGAGTTAAAGAAACTTGTTATTAAAAGACCTAATAATTATAACAAAAAATACAGGAAAATGCCTTTTTCCCCCTCTTTTCAGAGCTAGGCACCATGGGTCAGGCATTGTGTTAAGGCCTTCACATGCTTCAGTTTGTTCAGCCCTCACAATGGCTCTCTGGAGGACATATTAACTCCATCATACAGATATTATGGGGAGCCTCTCTGGGGCTCAGAGAGGTTAAGTAACTTGCTCAGGTTGCAGAGCTAGGCAGTGGGCAGACATGGGGCCTGAAGCTCTCATCTCTTAGAAGTAGCATGCTAGTCCCATTATATGACATGAGCTCCATAATTGTCAGTGCTTTGGGGGATATTTTTCTTAAAACTTAAATAAATAAGCCAGGCGCGGTGGCTCAAGCCTGTAATCCCAGCACTTTGGGAGGCTGGGGCAGGTGGATCACGAGGTCAAGAGATCGAGACCATCCTGGTCAACATGGTGAAACCCCGTCTCTACTAAAAATACAAAAAAATTAGCTGGGCATGGTGGCCCGTGCCTGTAATCCCAGCTACTCGGGAGGCTGAGGCAGGAGAATTGCCTGAACCCAGGAGGCGGAGGTTGTGGTGAGCCGAGATCGCGCCATTGCACTCCAGCCTGGATAACAAGAGCGAAACTCCATCTCAAAAAAAAAAAAAAAAAAAAAAAAAAACTTAAATAGAGAAATGGCTCTTGTTCCTAGACAAGTTACAAAAATGTAGTTCTTTCCACAGTTAATTTGCACATTTATTGCAACACCAATCAAATTCCCAACAGGACTTTTCTTGCAATTGGACAGAGTAGTTCTGCCTTAGGCAAGAAAAACACAGACTATTTAGACAAAAAGAAAAGAGATGGAGCGTGACTCCCATCCTCTGGCAAAATGTAGTAGTTAGGGGTCTTGGGTACTTGACTCAGGAAGACCTGGTTTGGATTCCCAGCACTCATGCTTTATTTGCTGTATGAATTTGGGTAGACCAATCTGAGTCTCAGTTTTCTTGTCTGTAAAATGGGGCTGATGATGCCTGCTTTTCAGAATGGTGAGGATAAAGTGAGTAAAGTGCCTGTCCTGGCACATAATAAGCCCTCAACAAATAACAGCTAGTAATAGTAGTAATAATAGCAGTAGTATCAGAAAGCAGTAGCCTCAATGAGGACTTCTGTGCGGAGGTGTTAGAAATGGAGGTGATACCTGAGGTCAGGAGTTCAAGACCAGCCTGACCAACCTGGTGAATCCCCATCTCTACTAAAAATACAAAAAATCAGCTGGGCCTGGTGGTGGGCACCTGTAATCCCATCTACTCAGGAGGCTGAGGCAGGAGAATCACTTGAACCCAGGAGGTGGAGGTTATAGTGAGCCGAGATCATGCCATTGCACTCCAGCCTGGGCAACAAGAGCAAAACTCTATCTCAAAAAACGAAAAGTCTCAAATGCCTGATCTTCTTCTCCTTGGCTTGTTTCCTTGTCTCTCTGGGTGGAACCCTCCCAGGAAGGGCAGTTTGAATGGACTGATGGCTCATCCTACGACTACAGCTACTGGGATGGCAGCCAGCCAGATGATGGTATCCATGCGGACCCAGAAGAAGAGGACTGCGTGCAGATATGGTACAGGCCTACCAGTGGTGAGTACCCCTGAGACCAAGGCTCTTGGAAGGACACCCAGGAGGCATCACAGATGGGGAGGGTGTAGAAGTGCCTTGGGGGAAGAGGAGCATTGAACAGCCTGAGACTGGCAAATTGTTCAGCACCTTGGAGAGCGGTTGAGGTCACTAGGGTGTTGGGGACATGGCCATTCTCCACAGTGGACTTGCTTTAAACAACATTAACTGGTTTTTTTTTTTTTAACACATAAATTCCAACTTAGATAAAAAGACATTATAAATAAAAGCATGAAGGGAAAAAAGACTTGTATAGAGAGTAGTCAAGGGGTGGTGTTTCCATGTCAGCTCACCAACACACCAAAGTGCAAGCCCCTTCCCAAGGCTCATGCTCCTGAATATGTGAAGCAAGCCACACCTGGGGTGGTATGAGGGTGTAGGTAGTGACAAGAATATAGACCTGGATTCAAATTCTGGCCCTGTTACTTTCTAGCTCTCTGTCCTTGCAGAGAATTACTTATCCTCTCTGAGATTCTGTTTCTTCTATAAAATGGGCTTAGTAATTTGTCCTGCCTACAGGACAGCTGTGAGGATTAAAGGTGGCACAGTTGATATAGCATGTGGCAAAAGCATGGACCTGGGAGTTGACTGCCCTTATGTGAACCCCCGCTCCACCCTTAATGTACAGCCCAAAGGTAATTCCTTAACCTCTGGTGCCTCAGATTCTTGGTCTTCAAAATATGGCTAATGATACTTACCTCACAGATTAATGTGAATAAAAAAAGAAGACCGTGTTCATAGAATAGCTGCCATGGTCAGTATTCGGTATTAGCAATCACCAGCATCATTGTGAACATCATCACTTGCACACCAATCTTAAGAAATAGAAACAATATTCCCATTTTGCAGATGAGGAAAATGAGGCTCAGAGAAGTTTAGCAACTTGTTCCAGGTCACACAGCAAGCTAAGTAGTGGAGCTGGGTTTGAAACCTAGATCTACAGAACTCCAGACCCAGACATTTAATTGCTATTTCCTCTTTGCTCCCTTTTCTTTTCCTAATTAGGGGAGGGAGGTAGAGGACAGCTTACCCTCTACCTAGGAGGATATTATCCTCTACCGGGAGCTCTCCCGGAGCCCTCTCAGAGCCTGGTAGCCAGTTTTGGGCCAAGCCTCTGGTTGAAGTTCGTCCTCCCATCCAAGGTGACAAGCCAGGATCAGCTTTATGCAAGAGTAAGGCTGGACAGCAGGCTTGTCACATATCAACAAGAAAGGGCTGCCAATGCAGACACGAGGCCTACTGGAGAGGGCTTTTGCTTCAAGGGAGTGGTGGGGTTACTTTTATTTTGGTGGAAGGATTTTCACCCAGATTCTCTGCTTCTTTTCATCACAGCTCTGAGGTCATGGAATGATAACGCCTGCAGCCGAAAGTTCCCCTTTGTCTGTAAAATCCCATCTCTGGCCATTCATTGATCCTGTCTTGTCCTACGGGTGTGAGCTCAACTCCAGTATCATCTTGTACCCAGTGTAGAATTGAAACTAAATACATGTAAAACATACATAGGAGGTAAATCTCTTGGATAGAGATTTTAAACAAGCAGATCTTAATTATACAGGGTTGTGACTTGGCCAATTGACAGGAAATTATACAGGGTGGTGACTTGGCCAGCTCAAATTGGCTTAATTAATTTTTTAAAAAGGTGTTGTTGTTGCTTTTAATTGGCCCAAGTAACAGAAATCCAGGGGTTGTTCTGATTCAGGGTTGAATCTCACTGGGCTGGCTCAAGTCACATGCCCATCCCTGAAACAATCCCTCTGGCATATGCTGAGTGGCTAGCCCCTGCTTAACTGCACATCTCTGGGACAGAATGGGGTGGGAGTCGCATCATCAGAGGGTCTGGGAGTGGGGAAAAATGGGAGGATGTTGGTCAAAGGATACAAACTTTCGGAAATAAGATTAATAACTTCATGAGACTTAATGTACAGTATGGACTAGAGTTAATAATAATGTATTGTGTTCCTGAAATTTACTAAGATAGTATTTTTTTTTGAGACAGTATCTCACTCTCTTGCCTAGGCTAAAATGTAGTGATGCAAACGCAGCTCAATGCAGCCTTGACCTCCTGGGCTCATGTGATCCTCCCACCTCCAGTTCCCAGAGTAGCTGGGACCATAGGGCACTACAGGCATGTGCCATCACATCTAGCTAATATTTTCTTTTTTGACAGAGTTCCACTCTTGTCACTCAGGCTGGAGTGAAGTGGTACAATCTCACCTCATTGCAACCTCCACCTCCCAGTTTCAAGTGATTCTCCTGCCTCAGCCTCCCAAGTAGCTGGGATTACAGGTGCTTGCCACCACACCCAGCTAATTTTCATATTTTTAGTAGAGACAGCGTGTCAGCTTGTTGGCCAGGCTAGTCTAGAACTCCTGACCTCAGGGGATCCACCCACCTCAGCCTCCCAAAGTGCTGGGATTACAGACATGAGCCACTTTGTCTGGCCATGTATTTTTTTTTTTTTAATAGAGATGAAGTTTCATCATGTTGTCCAAGCTGGTTTTGAACTCCTGGGCTCAAGGGGTCCACCCACCTCAGCCCAAAGTGCTGGGATTATAGTGTGAGCCACTGCACACAGCCAAGAGTATATCTTATGTGTTCCCACCACCACATGGGCTCAAAGATGAGACTGGTTCTTCAAAGGAAAACAAAAATATTACCAAACTCATAAGTTGCTGGTGGGAATGTAAAATAGTGAAGCCGCTGTGGAAAAGTTTGGCAGTTCCTCAAAAAGTTAAACATAGAGCTAGATCTGACCCAGCAATTCCACTCCTAGATCTAGACCCAAGAGAATTGGAAACAGGTATTCAAATGTAAGTGGTCAGTTGGGCACGGGGGCTCATGCCTGTAATCCCAGCACTTTGGGAGGCCGAGGAGGATCAGTTGAGCCCAGGAGTTGAAGATCAGCCTGGGCAACATAGCAAGACTCCGTCTCCATAAGAAAATGTTTTAAATTAACCAAGCATGGTGACACAGATCTGTCGTCCCAGCTGTTCGGCAGGCTGAGATGGGAGGATCACTTGAGCCTGGGATCTCAAGGCTGCAATGAACCCTGATTGTGCTACTCTATTCCAGCCTGGGTGACAGAGAAAGACCTTGTCTCAAAAACCAAAACCAAAAGATCACAGCAACATTATTGATTTTAAAAAAATGCAGGCAACCCAAGTGTTCGCCAACAGATGAATGACTAAATAACTGTGGTCTATTCATAGGGTGGAATATTATTCAGGCATAAAAAGGATGATGTAATGATAGATACTGCAACCTGAATGAACCTGAAAAACTTTATGCTGCCAATCACAAAAGACCACATATTGTATGATTCCATGTATACGAAATATCCAGAATAGGCAAACCTATAGAGTCAGAAAGTGGATTAGTGGTTGCTAGGGGATGTGTGGAAGGGGAATAGAAAGTGAGGGCTAATAGGCATGGGATTTCTTTGTGGCTGACAAAAATGCCCTGCAATTAGACGGTGGTAATGGTTGTACAAAATTATAAATGAACAAGAAGCCACTCAACTTTACATTTTTAAATAGTAGTTAATACATTTTACATTATATGAATTCTTTATTGTTATTTTTTGGGTCTCACTCTGTTGCCCAGTCTAGGGTGCAGTGATGCAATTACTTCTCACTGCAGCCTCGACCTCTCAAGCTGGAGTGATCCCCCTGCCTCACCTCCTGAGTAGCTGGGACTACAAAAGTGTATCACCTCTCCCAGCTATGTTTTTGCCTTTTCATTTTTTTGTAGAGGCAGGGTTTCTGCACGTTGCCCAAGCTAGTGTCGAACTCTTGAGCTCAAGTAATCTACCCGCCTCAGCCTCCCGAAGGGCCAGGACTACAGGCATGAGCCACTATGCCTGGCCCATTATGAATTTTATCTCAATTTTTTAAAATGTTACCAGAAGAAAGAATGCATGCCAGGCAGGAAGAACAATAGATATTTATTAGTAGAGAGAACCATGATCAGAGAGTCAGTAGACCTCAGTTCCATTTCCAATTCTCTGGGCCTTGTTTCTGCTTTGGTACAGACTGGGGTTGTGGGGTGACCTAAAAATCAGGCCCTTCAGTACCAACAAGGAAACACAGGTTAAAATATGCAAAAGAAAAATCAATTAGCATTTGGTAAATTGTGTGGTTTCTCAGATTTTTGCAGGAATATTCTTCTGAAAAGGATGTTAAAATGGGACTTTGCTATGGCTTCAGAATTGGTCCCAATTGAAAACAGCAGGTTCTAATTACCTCTGGTTCTGAAGAGAGCAACGAACACATGGGACCATTCAGCTACCCCTAGAGCTTACATAATGGTTTGCAGACCTGGCCTTACCACAGTCAACCACATGAGTAGGGGAAGACAAAGACTGAGATCCTTGGCCTTGTAGGGAACATAGCGTCCACAGTGAAAAGGGTTTTTACCTTTTCTTTCTATGGAAGTAGGAGGGGTTGCTTTCTCTCCATCTCCAATGTCAAATGAGCAGAACTTTAAGAAACTACTTGTAGAGATTGGGGTGCCCAGAAAGGTACACTGGCTTTTCGCTCCCCAGCAGAATGTTGACTATGTTCTTGAAAATTCTGCCCTCCCCAGTACTACATGGAGAGGAACTGGGTCAGAGACTTCTCAAGAATGCTTCATGCACCCAGACACAGTGGCTCATGCCTGTAATCCCAACACTTTGGGAAGCCAACGTAGGAGGATCACTTGAGCCCAGGAGTACAAGATCAGTAAGCAACATAGTGAGATCCCACCTCTACAAAAAAAAAGAAAAAAAAAAAGCCCGGTGTGGTGGCATACACCTGTAGTCCCAGCTACTCTGGGGCTGAGGCTGGGAGGATTGCTTTAGCCCAGGAGATCCAGGCTGCAGTGAGCTACGATCACGCCACTGCATTCTAGCCTGGGTGACAGAGTGAGATCCTGTCTCATTAAAAAAACAAGCAAACAAATAAAAAAGCAAAAGGATGCTTTATGCATCCTGAGAATTTAGGAGTGTAAGGAGGAAAATGTTTCCTCTATCCTCTTATTTTCCTTTCTGGAGGCCTGTGACTCTATCAAAAGACAGATTAATAGAAGAAGAGGCATAGAAGTTTTGTAGATGTTTTTACATGCAGAGGGATTTCATAGAAAAGAAGTGATAACCCGGCCGGGTGCGGTGGCTCAAGCCTGTAATCCCAGCACTTTGGGAGGCCGAGGCGGGTGGATCACGAGGTCAAGAGATCGAGACCATCCTGATCAACATGGTGAAACCTGGTCTCTACTAAAAATACAAAAAATTAGCTGACCATGGTGGCGCGTGCCTGTAATCCCAGCTACTCAGGAGGCTGAGGCAGGAGAATTGCCTGAACCCAGGAGACGGAGGTTGCGGTGAACCGAGATCACACCATTGCACTCCAGCCTGGGTAACAAGAGCGAAACTCCGTCTCAAAAAAAAAGAGAAGAGAAGTGATAACCCAAAGAGGTGGTTAGACTTGGGGGCTTATTTACCGTTTTAACAAAGGGGGATAAATTGTGGAGAAGTGACTAGAAAAAGGAAAAGGGGGTTGGCTTTCTAGTGGTGGAAAATCGTGGGAAGGTGACCAGGAAATGGATGGTAGATAAAGATTGTTTCGTAAGGTTTGTTATGTAGACTCAAGTGATCTCCAGGGTCATTCACTTCTTCCTAGTACAGGAGAGGGGATCATGCTTAAAATGGAAATTTATGTTACATTTACAAAGAGAAAGTTAGGCTCTGTGTGTAGGCAAATGTGGGGTCCTAACTAGGGAAAACTAGTCAGGCTGGTAGGACCAAGGGAAAGCAAAAAGAGAGAGCAGATTAGCTATCAGTCTGCCTTTCTTCATGGTCCAGGACACAGAGCCCTCCTGCACAAAAAGCTCACAATCTTTCTGTACCCAGCACTCATCAGCCCCCTGCAGGTTAGCTCACTGCCCCCTTGGCATTATCAGTGCTGTACACAGCACTCTTTAGCATAAGCACCATTCCATACATCCCCAACAAGCCTTTGTTTCCTTGCTGACAGCCCCTTCTCTGCTGTGCTGCCCGTTGCAACCTCGCAACATACGTTCATAGTTTCTCTAATAAATATGCCTTTTTTTTTTTTACCTACAACTGTCTTGGTAAATTCTTCTTACCCCTGCACCACTGGTCCCAGATAGTTGTCAATCACCTGTGACAGCAACAGGGGAAGACAGACAGCTCTTCTTTTGTCTGCGATTTTTCTGTTTCTTTTTGTTTTTTGTGGAGAGAAAGTCTCACTATGTTGCTCAGGTTGTTCTCAAACTTTCAGCCTCAAGCGATTCTCTTGCCTTGGCCTCCCAAAGTGCTGGGATTACAGGTGTGAGCCACTGCGCCTGGAGGCTGAGGTGGGAGGATTGCCTGGCATTTCTTAATTGTCTTTAACCCAAAACAATCCTGATGCCAAAGTGGCATATTTTGGGATATCATATTCTGATCCCTTTTAGGGTCATCCGTGAACAGATTATCATGCCTACTGGGACCCCAAGTTAGGAAGCTTCTTGTAATTTCCCAAAGCAGAGAGGGGGGAAAGAGGCAGTGGCAAGTGAACCTGGAAAGAAAAAGATGGACACGTGGGCCTGGGTGGTTCAGAAAAGGATTTCAGTGGCTCCCCTGGCTCCACGAGAAGAAGCACAGAGCTTAGAGTTGCTGCTCTGTGCCTAAGCTGCCCCCCTGTAAAACAAGGACAGTAAGTATGTACTTCACCGAGGTCAGAATTCAATGAATAATATATGCGGAGGCTTTGAACAATGCCTGCACGTAGAGCTATGTAAGTTAGGTATTATTCTTGCTGTATTGGTTGGCAAGTGCTACAAAAGTGCCATGGAACAAGCCACCCCAAAACTCGGTGGCTTAAAACAACCATTGTTTATTGTAACACATGCATCTGTGGGTCAGCTGGGATTTGGCTGACCTATGCTGGGCTCTGCTGGGCAGCTCCGAGTCTCATTGCAAATCTTGAGGATAGCCAGGGTGCCTCTTCTTCACCATGTGTCAGGGGCACCAGTCAGAGTCTTGGCCTGGCATTACAAACCACCTCAGTCGGAAGCCTAACCGCCTTCAACGTTCAGCACTCTGAGTTCTGAGCTTGTGTCATGCTGGACCCCTATTGAATCCAACAGAAATGGCACCGTGTTCCAAAGGCCGAAGAACAGACCCAGAGCCAGTGAAGGAGGCATAGCGGTTATTGGGACTTACATACAGGGTGGTCTCAAAGCGTCAAGCTGAACAGGAAAAACTATCGCCATCCTTGAAGGGGGATCTGGGTGGCACATCTCCATGTTACCATATCTGGAATCAAAAAGGCATGGTTTCGGATCCCACCACTGACACTTACTGTGTGAGCTCATAGAAGTGGCTTGACCTCTCTGAGTTTTGGTTTCCTCTGTAAAATGGAGACATGGTCCCTTCCTGCCCTCACTCTGATTTATCCGGCAGCTTTGGGACACGAGGAACTCTGCATAGGTGACTTTTCCAGAAAACTAAAATGTATTCCTTGAGCAATTGCAAGTATCTCTATTTTTCCATTTTGGATGGAAATCTTTCTAAACCATGTTACACATCTCCCTGCCTCCTGAAACAGAAGATCCTTGAGAAGACTCAGCTTTTCTTGATTCAGGGTAATATGCACTGCATCTCCTTCAGGTGTTTTTGTCTTCTGTCATATCTGGGTGCTGTGTGTGTTTCCAAGTTGGACATCTCTACCCTCTTTCCTTCACGGGGCATCACTCTTGTATCATGTGTCTCTGACAGCCCACAGGACTCACAGTCTTTCCTATACTGTTGCTTCTGGGATGCTGGGGGCAGGGAAGCCAGGCAACCAAGCCTGAGAACAACCCAAGACAGAGGGGGGAGAGAGAGAGAGAGAGAGAGAGAGAGAGACAGAGAGAGAGAGAGAGAGAGAGAGAGAGAGAGAGAAAGAGAGAGGAGGGAGAGGGAGAGGGAGAGGGAGAGGGAGAGGAGGGGGAAGAAAGGAGAGGAAGGATGAGAAGGAGGAGAAGGAAAGGAAGGAGTAGGGGTGGGGGGAAGAGGAGGGCAGGGGGAGAGGGGAGGAGGGAAAGGAGGGAAAGAAGGAGGAGAGAAGGGGAGGAGGGAAGGGAAGAGGGGGAGGAGAGAAAATAGATGATAGGGGATGGATTAATAATAAATGATGGATGGATAAATGAAGATGATAGATATCGTTAGAGATAGATGATAGGTAGATAGTCTGTATGATATGGTAGTCATGTATCTGTCTATCATATCTGTATGATAGTCTGTGGATAGTCATATATAGATAGATAATAGTCTCTCCCTTAGGGAAGAGAGAGAGACAGATGGATAGGCAGATGCTCATCATTATAAATATTTGTCACCTATCCAATCATTGTAAGTAAAGCATAGGACCACATTGTGTGGATGCATTGAAGTATTTATTCTTGTATTGTTAGCTGTTTAGGCTGCATCTACATTTTCACTGTTACAGATAACACAGTGACAGGCATCTCTGTATGTATTTCAATTATATTCTTGGGCATATATTCCTAGAAGTAGCATTGGGAGTTTGAAATGTATGCACATTTTAAAAATAGAATTACTTTTTATTATAAAGTAATGCAGGTGGCTTTTGGAGGTGATGAATATGTTTATCATCTTGATTGTGATAATGGCATCACGGGTGTATGTTTGTGTCCAAACTCATCAAATTGTATACCTGAAACACTTGCAGTTTTTAAAATATAAAATTATACCTCAGTAAAGCTGATTTTTAAAAAATGCACGTGGACTACAAAACAAGGGAGGGCCGTGTGTGTGTGTGTGTGTGTGTGTGTGTGTCTTCTGCAATCCCACCAACCAGAGTTAACCACTACTGACCACAGTAGTGGACTGTTTTCTGGCCAGGTATACTGTGATGGACATGCAAATGTGCCATGCAGACCTCCTACTACCAGGGGCATGATTGACTGAGGGCTCCAGCTTTTGTGTTTGAAATGCATCACTTCGTTTGCATTCCCAGATAATAATGACTGAGCGGTGTGGAATACCAAGGCAGGCATATTCCTTTGGTGGTGAACTTGGCTGAATGAGGCCCCAATGAGGCCTCTGATAACAGAGAGGACTTCAGTTACTGGGGGAGATGGCCCCAAGGTAGAATCTTAGTTTTGTCTGTAATGCTTGATTTGTTGTTGTTGTTTTTTTTTTTTTTTTACAATGATCATGTATTCATGTATTATTTGTCCAGATAAAAATACAGAGCTATTTTTAAAATGTAACATATTTCAACCCAAATCTCTCTTATAACCTTTAGGGCTAGGTTTGAATTGGCCACAAACCCAGAACCAGCTGTAGTGGATTGGGACAAAACACTGACATGTCTAGCATAATTATTATTGCCAAGACGCTTTCAAGATGCAATGCCAATGTACACCCTGATCTAGGCAACCGTGACAAAAATAATAACATTCATTGCTGGTTCTGGTTTTAATTGATGATTCTTTGATTGCTACTGAGGATGAGCATTTTTTCCCATGACATTTTTGGCCATTTTCTGGAAGTGGTAGGGAGAGAATGCCAATTTTCCCACTTGCTCCTAGGCTGGGAAATGCCCACCTCCCACAGCCTAGGGACCATTTAATTAACACCTGCCCCACCCCTCTAGAACCACATAACAACCAGACATTCAGTGAACTCCCCCTCCACAGAAGCCTATACTTTACCCCACACCCACTTGAGTCAATGCTGTTTGCTTTACAATAGAAACACATTGGCCTGTCAAAACCAAGCCTTCTGGGGTGCATTGGTCTGCACTAATGATACCATAGATCCACAGGGGGGCAAGTCCCCAGCTGTGTTGTAAGCATGGATGCCAAAAAGAGATCGGGAGAAGCCCTGCAGGAGCCCTCAGAGACTCCGTATGCCCCACTGTCTTCCACATAGGCCTTGGCAGCTTGATGTGAGCTGGCACCTCCTTGGCAAGCCTTGTATGCCTCATCCACCACCAGTGTTATTAACTCATTACCTTTCATCCATGAGGGACAGCCCATTCCCAGCCCCAGCCACTGGCCTGTGCCCTCACCCTCCAGGGGCTATCTCATGGAGAAGAGTGTTACAAAAAACATTGCACTACAACCTGGTCCTGCTGGGAAAGTCCTTTCCTGCTCTGGGCTCCGCTTAAAGCTCACAGCCCCTCATGCTTCCTGGAAGATGTGCTGGACCAGCATCCCTAGGTGTAGAATTTGCTGCCTCCAGCACCTGGAGAGGCCTGCCAGTCATTGTGTGTCTTTCTTTACCCAAACCCTATCTCTGCACACACACACACACACACACACAAAAATAGCAGAGCATGGTGGCATGGCTCTGTAGTCCCAACTACTTGAAGACTGAGGTGGGAGGATAGCTGGAGCCCTGGACGAGAAGATGGAGGCTACAGTGAGTTGTGATGGTGCCACTGCACTTCAGCCTGTGTGACAAGCAAGATGTTTTTGTCTCAAAAAGAAAGGAAGGAAGGAAGGAAGGAAGGAAGGAAGGAAGGAAGGAAGGAAGGAAGGAAGGAAGGAAGGAGGGAAGGAGGGAGGGAGGGAGGGAGGGAGGGGGGGAGGGGGGGAGGGAGGGAGGGAGGAAGGAAGGAGAAAGAAGGAAAAAAAGAAAAGGAAGAAAGAAGAAAGGAAAAGAAAAGAAAATAATATGAAATGCCATTTTCAATGTCTGTAAATAAAGTCTTACTGGAATACAGCTACACTTTCGCTTTATCCCATTAAGATCACAAGACACAATAATTTGGGAGGGGATGTGCCAGCATTCTCCTGATTCTTGGACTCCTAAAAAAAAGTTTTGGGGTTTTGTTGGTTTGTTTTTAGCTGAGACGGGATCTTACTCTGTCACCCAGGCTGGAGTGCAGTGGTGTGATCATGGCTCATGGCACCCTCAACCTCCTGGGCTCAAGCAGTCCTCCAGCCTCCGTCTCCTAAGCAGCTGGGACTATGGGCGCGCGCCACCGCGTCCGATTCTTTTTTTGTTGTTGTCTCTTTGTTTTGGTAGAGACAGGGTCTCCTGTGTTGGTGTTGCCCAGGCTGGTCTGGAACTCTTGATCTCAAGTGATCCTCCTGC